ACGCAGAACAGGAAAGGCTTTCCCCTTCTAGTTAGCGGCGTTCCTCCTGATCTCTTCAGTGAAACTGGTCAACTGTGGGGAAGGTATTTGATGCTACACACTTCTGTACATTATATTATTGATGCAATGCTTGGTTTGTTCTTTTAATTTGGATAAGTATGTGGAAGACCACTGTTTCTTTCTAGTTATCAATTATCTCTCAATAGACCAATGTTTTACAACATTGTTAATCATTGTCGACATGAATAATTTTTTGGCTTGTAGACCATTTGTTGTACTTCACAATTTGTTTTACCCTTCAATCTCTTTTATTTTTTCGTTGTCTTCACATCATTTCTTGACCTTTTTACTTTTGTTGATTTGTAGCCCTCTTTATGACTGGAAAGCGATGGAGAGTGACCATTATTCTTGGTGGGTTAATCGAATACGACGTGCACAAGACTTGTATGACGAATGCAGGATCGATCATTTCAGAGGATTTGCTGGGTTTTGGGCGGTTCCTTCTGGTGAGTTAATCTTCAAACTAGAAAAGAGTGACTGATCATATTTTCTAGGGTTAGATATTGGGTTGGTATTATTTCATAGGATTGACCTGATTTGATACCCTGCAGAAGCTAAAGTTGCCATGGTTGGACGATGGAAGGTACTTTGCTTAATAATGCATTGATATGGATATAATCAGTTAAAGAAGCAAAGAACTCCAAAAGTTTTTATAAATGTAGGTAGGACCAGGAAAGTCTTTATTTGAAGCCATTACAAGAGGCGTTGGGAAGATCAAAATCATAGCAGAAGATTTGGTAAGCTCATTGGACTCAGTTATAGAAACACGCAGCTTACTCGTATTACGAATTGAAAATATGGCATGTGAGATTTGCTAATGGAGGCCAAACTTTGTCATAAGACAGGGAGTTATTACTAAAGATGTAGTTGAGCTGAGGAAATCTATCGGCGCACCTGGAATGGCCGTCCTCCAGTTTGGTAAAACAGCTTGGCTTCCCCTTATGTTCTTCTCATTGTCTTTTAATTTCTGAGATTTTTTGGTCTAATTTCAGCTTTTGGAGGCGGCTCTGATAACCCACATTTACCTCACAATCATGAAGTGAACCAAGTTGTATACTCTGGAACTCATGACAATGACACTGTAAGTTTTGTTTTAGCTTAACTGATTTTACTGAACCCATAGAAAGAAAAAGAAATGTATCTGCCCCGTTGATTTCTCTTGTTAAATATAGATCCGAGGTTGGTGGGAAACTCTGGACCAAGAAGAAAAGTCTAAGGTGTTTACTAATCTCATACCATAAAAACAAATTGGTTATTCCGATTTATGATGTTTTGTAAGATAAATGACAAAATCGATTTCCTCATGTTTCAGGCAATGAAATACCTGTCAGTATCTGAAGAAGACGATATCTCATGGTTAGTCATCCAAGCTGCATTCTCTTCAATTGCTCAAACCGCAATCATACCGATGCAAGACATCCTCGGACTTGGAAGCTCTGCTAGGATGAACACTCCAGCCACTGAGGTTACTCATTGCTCTCTCTATCACTGTCCATTTGTTTTCATTTAGTTTTATACTGTATCTAAGACATAAAAGCCATTATAGTTATAATAAACAAAAAAAGAAAACTAATTTGGATTTGTGCATTTGGAATATTGCATAAAAGGTGGGGAATTGGGGATGGAGGATTCCGAGTTCAACGAGCTTTGATCATCTGGAAACAGAATCCGTCAGACTCAGAGATCTTTTGTCATTGTACGGACGTATTTGAGGAAATCATTCGACATTAGCAAATTAAGAAGAAGAATCTTTCGTTTTTTTGTTAATTATGATTAAAAAAAACGCAAATAAATCGATGATAAAACATATTTATTATGTAACCCAAAATACATCGACGGTTTTGGGTGGAATCAGTAGCAAAGATCTGTTAACAACTTAACATTCTCTTAATATGGAAATATGGAAGAAAAAGAAAAATTTGATTGTAGACAGTGGAATTTGAACCCACGTCCTTTCGAACCAGTACCTTCATCTGGCGCCTTAGACCAACTCGGCCATATCAACTTTCTTGTATTGCAAGTTCAACCCAAAACATAGAACGAACCATCGAGGAAACCCGAAGAACTCCATTCACGGACCAAATCGCTAGCACACGCACCAAGGAAATTGAGAAAATCAACAAATAAAATTATAGATCATTTTTACAGAAAATATATTATTTTGAAAATAACAATAAAGACTTACCAAATTTTTAAAAGAGACTTTGATATGTCTGTGAAAAAACTTTCCAAGTTTATAACAAAAAATGTAGTTATTTTTTTGAATTTTTTTTTACGCAAGACAATTTGAAAGTAATAAAAATATTTTTTATTCGAAAGCACCAATTTGTTTTTTAATCAGCATTTTATTTATAAAATTTATGATTATATATTTTAATGTTTTAAAATATTAAATAATTTATTTGTATTCTAAATTCTACTTAAGGTATTTGGACAACCCAAAGTTAACATGTTTTTTTTAACACTAATGTATTAAATTATTATACTTTTTTATTTGAAAAATGTACATATATTAAATAATTTCCAAAGTTTATAACAACAAATATAATTATTCTTTTGAAATATTTTTTTTAACGCAAGACAATTTGAAAATAATAAAACAATTTTTAATTCGAAAGCAGCAATGTTT